CGACCGTTAAATGGAATGATGAATTGTTGGAGGATTTTGAAAACGGAAAAAATGAAAGTCATGCCGGTCCAGCATCCTCAACGTTGAAAAATGGCCCGGTCCGAAGTGGTTAATAGATCACAGGTCTTTATCAGCATCATCATTTGGTCACATGCAAGACCAATGAGAGAAGCCCAACACTTAGGACAAAAAACATTGATGTTTACTCTATCGTTTGGTAAGTAGTTCAAGAATTTATTTTACACGATTGAATTTGTAGCTATTTTTTTTTAACTAAAAGGTCTTTTCATTGTATTTCCAGTCTGATCAGATCAGATCAATTTTTTGTGGTGGTGGTAGAAATGGGAGATTTTCAAAACCAATTAATCAAATTTGAAAAAGCTGTGTTCTGCCTTTGTTGACCTTTTGAATGCGTGAACAACTCACATGGCACAGCATGACAATAATAGGGAGTTCTCTATTTATTAGCGGCGGCGCAGCTCTCCAGTTGTGGACTTCGTGGGAAAATATTATTTGCGCTATCCGAAAACTAAATCACAATTTTTTTTAGTTTGCACAGTTCAGATGTGTCTAAAACAATTTCTTTTTTAACACTGAAATCATTGTTTGCAGTTTGTCAGACACTGTATTTAAAAAACATTTACAATACACTTAACTCAAAGTAACATTGATGAAATCTCAGGTAAGGGCTGGCGACCATTTAGACCCGGTTTGAAAAGGGCCCCCCAGTAAGCTCCCTTGTTGCAAAACCCCTTTCATACCGGCCTGGGATGCTGGACTGATTGTTGATCTCAAACTTCTCCATCCTGGGGTCTATTGTTTGCAAGTAGTGGTACATGTAATCTATCCCAGAAGGAACCTGCGTGTGGTTTTTAATCCTTCAGCTCTATACAATGTTTACACTAATCCGCTTAGACGCCTATCCATCTCTGGGAGCATGGTGAAGAAAGCCTTCCATCAGGGACTTTGAAATGCCCATGTGCAGACAGGCCTGATACTGGCCTGGAGTGGCCTGAATAACGGCAGACATTATACAGGGCAGGCTACAGGGGGAGGGGCCTTTTCAAACCAGGTCTAAATGGTCACCGGCCCTAAATGTGACTTATGGGACAAACATTTATCACCAGACATACAACAGTGGGTGTGGCCAATCGCCTGCGGGGAAACTAATTGGTTCTTCAGTACTGCATAGAGCACCTCATGTCAAAACAAATGCCCTTACATGTGTAGGTCTGGCCATTTATGCTATTCCAGTTTTCATTGTTAAGGTTTAATATGAGTTGTCAATGAAGATTGACAATTTATTAAAGACACAGAGATGAGGTGGTGAGGTTCTTAATTTGCTTAATTGTACTGTATCTGTGCTTATTATGACAAGGGCAGGCCGATTCAAAAATAATTCATGTCCACAAATTCTTGTAATGTTAGAAAAAAATTTGCTTGTATACAAAATAAACGTTGTACCTGCAAGAAAAAGTAAGCTCACACGAAATACTTATCATGCTCTCAGCCTGTCTGAATGAGTAATGGGTATTGTCTAAAAATATGTGTATTCCTATGAAGTTTCGAATGAAAACATATTTCCTGGCTTTGGCACTAGGGCTACGCCAAATATCGTAATATTCGATCAATTAATGAATATTCAATAAGTTTTTGTATTCAAATATTTAAATGAAAATATTGCAATAATAATATGTATCTTTGCCAAATTATGGCTGGAGATGAAAAGTGAGAAATTATAGTGATTATAAAGTACATTTGTGACTGTTTTGTATATGGTTTGTTCATCAACAATCTGCCGGCTGGTACAACTTAATATTTGAATATGCGATCCAATTGAAGGTCAAATATTCAAATAGTAAATTATTCAAATTTACTCAGCCCTTTGCAGCACAATTTTAAGCAGACTTAACATTAGACAACTTACCCAGCCCAATATCGCAAGGTTTATATTGCGAAGCTTCTAGCAATACACAGTGTGCAACGATTGCTTAGAGGGGTAGTTTCAATTAGTCAACCATGACACCTCTAGTCCATCTTTCAGTCATTCTTCATGCTCCACTAAATGATATGTGGTCGAGAATAATGTTGACAGACCATCGACAGCCAAACTAGTGAATTTTGGCTCATTGTCACATCTTTTAAATCTTGTGATGGACGGCTGTTTTCACATTGCTGCCCTCTAAGCTTCATGCTTCAACCGCCCATTTTTCTAGAACATCTGATTGCGTGCGAGTTTTCCACAGGCACGTGTCGAAGTCATGCATGTGGGAAGGGTCTTCCACTTGATTGACACTATGCTGTACATGTAGCTAATCTTGACTATGTTGGTTCTGTTCCATACTAACTTGCACATACAGTGGGTGGCTGTGCTTTCGATGGCAACCAGTACAGGATGAAAAGTGTTGCGTGCACTCTACCGTGTTTTAACTTTTTTTCTTGATGAAAATTGTTTGTCTTCAAAGCTCACAATATGATTAACCATTTTGAGGTAAATTATTTTACATATTTAGGAAAGTCCCTGTTTACCGGCACTCTATGTTAACGTATGTCATCGGTTGTTACAAAAGCTTGCAAGATGCAGAGCAAAGTCAGTATAGTTCCCAGCCTCATACTAAACATGAGACATTTACATTTAGTTTGTAAGTCTCGTACCTTGGCTGTAGAGTCAACCAGCTCAAGTTACACTTAAAGGAGCTCCTTGTAAACTCCAAATTCCTGTGAAGTGAAGGCATTTTTCTTCCATAATCAGCTCAAGCTTAATGTTTTCTTTTAGTTAATATTTTTTCGCAATTGCAGGTAAATGAACACTACTGAGACTGGCGAAGCGTGAACTTATTCAAGGAGGACAACTGTTGGAGGAAGCACAAAGAAAAGGAGACATCGATATGCTTCAGCAGATAGAGGGTGAAGACTTGGTTGCTTGGGAGCTTTAGTATCACCGAGAATGTTTATATAGGGATTACACTAAGTTTCTCAGTAAGGCAAGTAAGCCCCTGACAGAAATTCAAAGTGGGTATACGACAGCATACATGCATAATCAGTTTTGTGAGGTTATCATAAGGAAGAGACTTCTCCCGGGTAAAGGGATATTAATGCTGGCCAGACTGAATCAAATTTTCATACGTATCATAAAGGACTTTCTGGCATGGGTTGCAGGTGCTTCAGATGATGCAGAGGTGGATAGATATGTCAAAACATCAGAGTCAAAGGAACGAAGATTGCTGTCGATAGCACAAGATATAATGTTTGTGAAGAACAGCAAGAAACCCATGCCGAAACACTATGCACTTGCAACAGCTGTTAGCCACCTCACTGATTCAGCCAAATTGGTAGGAATCTTGGACTAGGGCACAGTATTGCACAAGCAACACTCGCAAAGTATAATACAGCACTAGCCACACCAACAGATCAACCTGGGTGACAGTACTTTGTCCCCACAAGTTCAGCCGAAGCTGTTCACAACCATAGTGTGGCACAACATAGACTTTAGAGAAGACACCCTTGTCAGGGAAGGGGACAACACACAGCACCAATGGGATTGTAATCCAGAGATTGAGTCAAC